TTGCCAGCAAAAACAATCATGTGCACGAGGCGCTTGTATGAAATCTTCGCTGTGTTGTCATGGAGCGACACTTCATATGGCCCTTCCAAACGGTTGGCCAGATGAGCCAGACTCGGCGAGTCCGATGCAGGGATCAGCACACAAAGGTGCGGAGCTGCCTGGATCTTCGAAATCTCTGGCAAATGCGTTTTGGTGGCCAAGACGACACCACCTCGGCTTGGAGCCAACTGCAATCGATGTGTTTGGCTCAGGTGCTTGTCATGCTCATCAACAAAAGGAACAGGCTCCTTTATCACAAGGTCTTCCCACTTGGATTGCGACGGCCGTGGTGGGCGCTTAGCCCACGGATCATTGTGCAGCCATGGATCACTGGGAGTCTTGCTGCTAGCACTCGTGGCATGACCACCAGGAGAGGCGTCAGGCACTTTGGATTTGGTTTTGGCCGAGGCATCATGAGACGCCATGTCAACATCATCAACCGCACCACCAGCAATGTAATGGTCAGGAAATCGGCGCTCCAACACACGGATGATGAACCAATCACGAACATTGGCAGCGAAATCAATGAGCTCCTCCTCGGCACCAGAGTTGTGCCACAGAAGTCTGGCTTCATTCCTGATTTCCTCAACTTCCTCTCCAAGCTGGTGCCTCCAGATTGTCTGAAGTTGTGGATCACGAAGGGGTGCAAAGTCCAAGGAGACCCGGTGGAAGAGCTGATGCAGCATGTGGTATCCACAAAGCCCATGCGGAGTGTCTTGATGAAGGGTCTCAACTGTGACAGTTTCAGGCTCAACTTGTGCAATCCCAATGATGTAGTTGATGAGAGGCAGCAAAGTCTGGCGAATGGAATTGGGAACCGTGAAGTAGAATCTTGCATTTTCCGGAGCAATATACAGTTCAATCTGTACCCAATGGTTCAAGGTCACAACACTCCAGAAGATGTGGCTATAGGATGAGATGTCCGGCACTAAATCATTGAGATACGCAAACTCAGATCGTGTGGGCACCCAAACAGCCGGCGGGCAGAACAATGTTTCAGGGTGATGTGACCGCAATAGGTCCATTGTGTAGTCAACTTCATCAGTGGCTGCCCAGCCTGGGTATTGCTGGAAATGATGTAGCCTCGCCAGAATTTCTGTGATGGCACTGGGAGGTTCTTGCGGTTGAGGTCGGACAACTGGTTGTGGAGTCGGAATGGCAACTGTCAGCCGTTGCTGGATCACAAGTTGACCAATGGCCTCACGTCGTGCCCGGTGCCACAAGAAATTCCTTCGGAGTTGCAAAACTACCTCGGCGACATCTTGCGGCATGTTGCACCGGCGCCAGTCTTCAATTGAGCACTGGATGCATGTGTCAATGATCTCCAGCACATGTTGTGGTAACGGTGACTGATTGACCTGGTTGGCCAAGTTGTTGTGCATGTTGAAATGTGCGATCCAACGATACAACAAGAGCCAGCCACACAGGTGAGGAGGGACAGCATCACCATCGTAGATGACTTCGAAGCGATGCGGTGCAATGTCCAAAAGCCGAGCAACGATGTGTGTCAACTTGTTGCGAACATTCTGTTGCACCTGGACAAAGACAACTCGTGTGCCATGTTCACCACGATGAATCTCGACAGCACTCCAGTGATTCGTGATGAGAACTGGAACAACTGTGGTGCAGCCATTGAAAATGTGTATCTCACCAGATTCAGGAAACTCAAATTCATCATCATTTGGATCCCAGAAAATAGGCGGAGTGAACTTGTAGAACATCTGGTGCCATTGAATTTCCTGTGTATACATCGCCATTTCATCACTGGCAACCCATCCTTGGGTATTGCACATGAACTCTGCTCTGTCAACAAATGGGGCACTCGCAGGCAATGATGGCCTCGGCCCAGGGGCCTCAGGGTGTCCTCCGGCCCGGATGCATTCACCACATTCAACATGTAGTACATCATTTGCAGAGAGTCGGATCATTGGCTGCTGCGGTGGCCTACCATTGACAGCCTGGATGGCGAGCACCTTCTCCCTCCACTCAAATGTGGTATGCGATGAAATGCTCCATGGTAGGCGGACCAAACAAAAGCTGTCAGCAGATTGAAAGTGCAAGGCAACCTGGACTTGTCCCCTGGTGGACTCATCTGTACGACAGACCAAATGGGTGAGCAATGCATGATCAATCGGCAGGTCAACAACGTGACCATTCCAAGCACGGGCGATGTCATCAGCAATGGATCTGAGCTCACTTCCTTTGCCACATAGCTGAAAGTCACACTGTCCAACCGAGTGCAGGAAGACAACACGTTGTGGATTGCCACAGCCTGACGAAATCCGATCACAGCAAGATAAGATTTGCTGAAACCAGGACTGCTTGCATGTGTCCTCAAATGGCAGTTCATCAGCAATCTGGAAAGTCTGGTCGATGGGGATGTCATCCTCGTCAGGAACATTGATGACCTCAGCTTTCGGCACGATGACGACCGAGCATGACCCCAGGAGGGTTCCGGCCACAACAAAGTCCCAACGGATGTTGGGATCTGCAAGCTGGACAATGCACGAATGCTTGTTGGGGTTATTATCCTGTGCACGAAAGACCATCATGTCTATGAGCTCCTTGGGACCTGCGAACAGCAACTGGAAGACTTGGCCACACGATGCATTCTGAGGGGCATGCAAATTGACTTGGTGATAGCCAAAAGACCCTTGAATCAGGACATGATGAGTCCCTTGCACATCAGACACCTGCCTCACTGACACCCATTGATCAATGTGATCAACATGGACCATATGAACAAATGCCTCCTGCTGGAAAAGGACGGCATTCCGGGCGCACAAACGCGCATGCCAAGCCTGTCGAACAGCCTTGAGTGGGTCAATGCCAGAATGGCCAACTGTGTGCATCGAAATCGAAATCGCCAACAGGCCATGAGGGACTGAGATGGCGTTGCCTACTCCTCGGAAAGCTGATTGCACCTTAGTTGGAAAAGCTCTGTCCTCGGTGGCTCCAAGAAGCCCACAGAACCTGGCAGGATCGAAGAATTCGAACCCACGGCTGGTGTGGTTCAAGAATGTGAACAGCCCACGGTCTTGCACATGCACCTTAGCGAGGGTGTGCTGTGATGAGTACGATGCACAAAGCGTTGGAAGAATCTCATGTCCACTTGGAACTCTAGCCCACAAGGTGTGATGGGCAGCAGCATTGTCCCCATCTGGTCGCTTGCGCTTGACACCTGGAAAAAGCTTTGGGTCATTGTAAATAGCTTTTTCAGATTCTGAAAGGACCAGCTGGTTGACCCACACATCAGGAATACGAAAGTGGTATGCTGGGTCATCCCAAGGTGTTTTGGGAGAAGCTTTGAGGGCAAAGGAAAATCCAATGGATTGAGCTTGAACATCAGCTCTAGCCCACGTGCACAGCCAGCGAGAACGGGCATGGTCGGCAAGAGCATGATATGGTGTGACCTGAGTCCACGTTCGCCGAAATCCAAGCGAGTGAAAAAGCGCCTCAAGAATCTTAAAATGAGGGTGCTCCGTGATTTCATCACTGCACTCCGCTGCGATTGTGATCGGCTGTACAATGGTAGTCATCTTGATGGCATCAATGAATGCCCAGCCATTGCTGTCTTGCAGCCCCATCCGTCGTCCGGCTTTCGACCAACTCTGGCACGGAGGTGAGATTGTGCAACATAGGTTTGTCTGGATCCGGCACACATTTGTCAGTGACCAGTCACTCACTGATGTGAGGATGCCGATCTTTTGTGCGGGCGACCACTTCGTATCATGAGCAAGAGGTCCTCGAAGATGCACACTGCCAGCTTGGGCACTCCAAATCTGCATGACGGTTTCATCACTGTCGACAGAAATTTCCTGTCCCAGAGAGAAACCGAGGTCAGCCTTCTGCAAAAATGAGGCGGCTTGACTCCATCCCCCAAATGATCCGCTGAAGAGGTGGAGGAAATTCCATGGCATCGCATCACTAATCTCGGGCCGGAAGGTCACCGCCACCTTGGAGTCAAATTCATAGACCATGTCATTCCAGAAAACTGGCTTTCCAGCACACATCACTTGGAACCCAGGCACCGTGTGGATGGATCGTTCACCCAAACCCGGAATCTTCACTCGCACCATCTTTTCATCACTTGGGGCAGCTTCAAACCCTCGTACCGGCTTGAAGGGAAAGAGGGCCAGGACCAACTCTTCCTGCAGTACGGAAACCACCTCCCCACCCAGCACAATGCGATCATCCAACGCCAGATGAGGACCAGCCGTCGAAACATTGTGCAGGAGGGAACGCAGCTCAGCTTTCAAAGGATCCTGAAGAATGCCGTCAGCAATGGCCAATGCAGCTTCCATGGCAACCCACGTGAACCAAGTGCGAACCACCAAAGTCACAAGCCACGTGAACACTCGGGGATGGGTGTTCGCACCCACCTTATGGACACGGACCTGCGACTTGGGGCCGCACAACCCGCCCTGGGCGACCGCACGCCCCAGCCTTCGGGCCTTTGAGCCCCGCAGCTAGATTCCTACAGCATACATCAGCCATCATCAGCCCACCATTCAATA